AAGAAAACCTTCAATTTTGTACTGTGATTCTCAACTTGTACTGAGAATTTTAATTTATTAAGGGTAAATAAAGGTAAATAAAACTTAATTCAAAACAATAAAAATAAGTCAGTCCTAAAAACATGTAATGTAACAATAATCAAATATTGAACTTTTTACGTATGTACATAAATTACAAGTAGACAAATGTTCTCACTTGTTCGTGTTTAGTTCAAAACACCAAACAATACGGCCGCTAACAAGAACTTTGCACAGTACAAAGCTCAACTTTACCACTGAAAACCTTTTTCAGTTACAATATTATCGAAACACTTTTGAGGTGTATATTTGCTTATGAAGTTAATCAAAATAATACTAATAGTGATTATTACGTTTTTAATTTATGATGGTAAACCATCTAAAGCAGAGGTGACGAACATTTATGCATCAATAAGCTATTTTTTTTAAGAAATGTTCAATGAACTCTTAGATGTGACATGGAATAATTTTGACTACGATTATTACGTAATTTTCATGGTGCACCTACTTCATATTTTTTCGTATTGTTTTTATCATTACCGTCGCGTCCAAAATATTATGTCGTGTGCCATTTATGGCACGCGTGCCAGTGGTTTGCAACCCCTGATCTAGAGGCTACCTAAATTCCCCGAAATAGCATAACAACTGCTGCCTGTAGTCAATTCCTACCTTCAATTGTAGATGCGTTGTATACCTTAAATCGATGAATAGAAAAGGAAATATCTACATATTTAGTGCATCCCCTATACCATCCACTTCCCTTTCTATCCTTGCTTTGTAAGAAAAGGGTAGGAGAGGAAAGGGGACTAAACGTAGGAATCCGACATGCACACTCATCAGGCGAAAATCAGAATTGCTTCCACTTCATGCCTGTCTTCTGTGTGGTCATGCTATTACACCGAGCCTGCTCATTCGTTCAACAGATGTTTTATTGCTGGCCACTAATATAGTTTTTTTTTTCAATATTAATGGGGTATTGGTCTACCAAAGTCTCTAGACAAAGGAGAAGAGGAATCGATCCGGAATGACCCGACATCTCCTTTTTCTTTTGTGCCGTCAAAACATTGATTTATCTTAATGTGAAGTAGGTTAGTTTTGTGAGTGCTGCAATTCCGCCCGCTATGTTTTAGTCCCGTTTGTTATGTTTTTTTTATTTTAATTCTTTCACTTTACTTCATGTTTCTGAAATTATTCCTCCATGCATAAAGCTACAGAAAAACAAATTATAATTCATTTACTAACCTCAGTACCTAAATTCAAATAGTTATAAACTTTTCCTCGTACAAAGCAGACCTGTGTGTATTTTCTAGTTTGTCAAATAACACGAACAATTCTCGTTGAAAACTTATTCGACCATACTTCAGATTGTTGAATTCAGTTGTGACTTGTGATGTAAATGTGTTTCTCTTCACATCTCGGGAAATATCTATTGTAAAAATAACGTTTAATCTTTAGCGTTTATTACCGTAAGTTCTCAAAGAATTACGCTCACGTAATAGAAATTGAGGCATTTATGTCATTCAATACCATAAAAATAATTATAAAGGTGCACAAACGTTTTAAAAAAAACCTAACAAGTGTCTGGCTGATTAACAATATTCTACTAATATTTTATAATAAAAAAAGAAAGAAAGAGTTTGCAGATGGAATTTACTACAAAGGAATAAAAGTTGCTGCGGTAAAAATGTGTATTTTAGCTAATACACAATTAAGGTTTTACCATTTGGTATTATTGCTTTGTTTTCAAATTAGCAAGTTATGACAGTTTAGTAATTAAATAACACTACGAAACCTTTTAAAGGAGGACAAAACAATATTCAAAATGTAGATCAATTGATCTTTATGGAACACACAACTGGTCCAAATCAAACATCAGACAGCAAGTTAGTTGTTTTTATCGATTTACCAATTGATCGACTGGACAATTACACTCATTGATCGTGTTTTTTTTTTCACTTTAATAATTGATCTGGTATTCGTTTCGATTCGTTTTTGTTAATGTATCACGAAACTAAACGATTTTACTGTTATATCCTAGCTTAGACTAGAATTCCAATTAGTTAATTAATGGGAATTCCAAAATTATAAACAGAACCTTGTCACATTAACAACATCAAAAAGTAACTCTTCACTAGACTTCTAAATACGTAGTGATTAGACCTTCAACGTTAAATAAAATGAAATTTCCCCAAGTATTATTGTTATAACACATTCACACTATGAAAGTGACGTTTCGGATTTTCCTAAGTAAACTTTAATAAAATTGTAGACCAGAAAAATTTACGCAAAGTACTAAAAAAACATTTTTCTTAACATTTATGCCAAGTCTACAACGTAGCTGATATACCTAATTTCCACGAAACATGTTTTTGAAAAATAAACTTTAATCCAAGTATTTAAGGTTATAAATACAATGCTTATAGTAAAGCATGCTTATTTCAAATGCATATGAAATAGAATTTGGTTCTATAGTTTTATGGTTCTTGCATAAATGTATGCAATCCCGGCGTTATCGAATTTCTAGCAATAAAAATATACACGAGAACCACACACGTATGAATAATTGTCCTGTTAACAAGGAATGTCATTACACGCTTTTTATTATTTACAACTAGCTGTTCCCGTGCAGCTTCATCCGCATGAAATTATGAAAATATAATTTTGTTGTTTACATTTGTCAAATTATCAATTTCAAATACCAGTGACATGACATGATGACAAACCATGGCATCTTTGCTTAATTGATGTTGGCAGCTTGTAGTTTATGGTCCCTTTCGCCACATGAGACTTTTTTACAATTTATTTATCCCCTAAGTTTAATAGCGTGAAAATGTATACCCTAAAGGGTGTCGTATGTGTAGGGCTTTTTATTAAAGAAAGAATTATTCAAAAATATGCTGTGATTGCTGATACGCCACAAAGTAGTGTGTGTTTACTCTTTATTATATTAGTATAGATATGTGGCTCTTCGTACTTTTGATCTTAACAATTCTATTTAAGTTGTTCTAAAAATTTATAACTATTGCACTTATTAACACGGGTTAAACTTAAACCAAACATAATAATTCGGATCTTTTAGTGCTATAATCTCCGCTGTTTGATAAAACCGAAACAATACGTAGTAAAAGATAATAATACTCCACATTTCGGTTTATTTTCCATACGATGTGAGATAAGACATATTACGTCATAAATCTAAAAGCCATGGTTCGGAAACTAATCTTACTATTATTATAAAAGCAAAAGTTTAGATAAATGAATGTTAGAGTTTGTAGCCTAAACTGCTGAACGGATCTCGTTGAAATTTACCATAGACGTAGAAGATAGTCTGGAAGAACACATAGGCTACTTTTACTTCTTTTCTTCCACGTGGACGAAGTCACGGGCGAAAACTAGTTTACAATTTTTTAAAAAAATATGTTTTTGATGGAAAAAAAAGGATTAACTACTATACGTATTTTGCTGAAATGTTTTGCCAGTAGGAATCGATGTTTAATTTTTCTTATCACAAATAACGTCAAACGGTCAGCTGGAATAACACGGGTCACTTCGGATAATACCCTCTGCCTGTGAAACATCACATTCTCACGACAAAGCCGATACAAACAATCAACCAAATCCCTTCAACACACAATAATCGATTGTGAAGAATAAGTGGCCGCCAATCGATGTATTCACTAACTATTATTTTGAAAACCATAATGGGAAAGACGCTGTTCATAATAGATTCATTACAACAGCAAATTGGTGCACGAATAAACAATGATCAACAGCACACGTCCCTTAATTTTATATTTATCTATACTAGTATTATAAAGAGGAAAGATTTCTATTTTTTTATGTATTAAAATAACTAATATAATAATTCATGCACCATTAAAAAACTATGTTATCAGTGAGTAACATAGACCATATTTTTAATTTCGCTCGTTCGATTTCGCGAGCAATAACTAGTGTATAATACATATGTTCCATCAACTAGCTTTTGTATAATAAAAACTAAACAGTATTTATAAAATTAAACGTAACAATGTCTTATTTAAACATCATTTCATTGTTATCAAGGTGTGAACGAATGTTGAAGGGGCGATTTGCTTTATAAACATTAGGCTTGAATACCTTGGTCTGGATACAATCCACGATTTAATTTAATTTGAAAGAACTAGCGAAGAAATGTTCGAAACGTCATCGATTAAATTTACATTGCAGAGCTTTCCAGAGGATTAAGTCCGCAATAAATTAAATAAAAAAATAAACAGCCTTTACCTTGTTCCAGAGTATTCTTACATTTATGCCAAATGTCATCAAAATCGCATTTATAATATTAGTAAGATTTGTACAGCGCCCTTATGAGCGCTAAAGTCCATCGACAAATCTCACAAATTTTCGTACTAGGTCCACCGTATACGTTTTAAAACGTACAATGAATCAACCTACATATGTACTCTCGCGTTAAATCTAGCCTAGATCTTTTTACATGTTGCAAAACAGTGAGTTTACTATGGGACGTTGTGTATTAAGGTATTGTACAATAATGAACTTAAAAAAAGTTAGAAAGCAATGTAGGATTATTCGAGTATTTTAGCTTAACAATTAAATAATAATTAAAACTTAAACTAGCTAAAATAAAAGTCCTGTTTATAAAATATAACATTTTAATTCATGGTCATGTTTAAAGTTATTTTGCATTAAATAATTTTCCGTGAGATAATGCTAGAAAAGAAAGAAGTGTAGTATGTACATAGGTATAGACGTACAAGGATCTTATGGAATTTTTTGACAGGGCCGGGCGCACCTACACGTTCTTAAAGTAACCATACAATTCCTAACTTTCGAAATTCCCCCATGTTGAAAATAAAAACTATATGCTAATAATTTGCAACTTATTAACTGTAACTCGTAGTAATTGTTTACTGTTTGAATTTATACTTTTCTACGAATTTATACAGCTTTAGAATCATTCAAGCAAAGACCTGTACATTATTATGTTTAGTTTTGTATTTAGAATGAAACATAACGAGTTATATTAAGTTAGCTGCATTAAGCTTATGGCTCTAATATCGGCAAATAAAACTATATCAATTTATGTATTTTTTTATGGAATTTTAAAAATGGCGACATTTACCCGTGCAGTGTCAGTCCCTCATTGGTCAAAAAGTGTCACTTCCGACATTTTATCACAAAATTGCCAACTGCCACGATCCTTATAGATCTATTAACAAACCATCGATAGAAAATTGGAATCAAATCTAATATAAACATTTATTTATGTACATATTTTTAACAGACATCTGCTGTAATCAAAAATAAAGTCAATCCATTTAAGACCTTAATTAATTATTAACATAAATAAATAGTACTTTGTAAATAAACAATAGAAGCACCCATTTCTGTTACAGGGCCTAAGTTTTATATTTACAAGCATTGTTATATACATTCCCATTTTCGCTACAATGCAATCGTGTACTCTGCATATGTAATTCGATACGGTGAGTGTTATGTATTGGGTATTGAAGATAAAATTGCAAATGGTATGCATTGAATACTCATATTCTGTACTCTTTACTAATATAATAAAGAGTAAACATACACACAGTTACGTAGGATGTCAGAAATCACAGCAGCATACTTTTGAATAATTCTTTTTTTAATAAAAAGCCCTACTTACGACATGCTTTAGGCTTTATATTTTCATGCTATTAAATTAAGGGAGTAAATAATTTGAAAAAAACTATTAACATACTATTTGAAAACTAACTCCATGATAGATAAATAAATTATTTATTTACGAAACGTAAACAAGTTCCCATCGCTTAAAAAATAGAAATACTTTTAACAATATTCTGATCACTATACGATCAAGTTTGAGAGAAGAAACTGCCAAGAAAGCCAGAAGACTAATAATTTCTGTTCATGTTTATAGAAGACACAGATGTAAAATGAATGGATCATAATGGTGTAAAATATGAATATTATGCTAATTATTTCTGTAATCCGTTTAAAAGTATGTTTTTCACACATGCGCTTATCCCCTTTTGTGAAGAATGTCAGTTTTTCTAACTAAGAATTTATGAATACATTGTTTTCTGCGCGAACATGTAACGTTGGCGATCTCTCGTCAAAGGACAAGACCTACTCTGAGTCCTTGCGCCAGCATAGTATATTACGTCTGACTCAATTATAGACAGAAGTTCAAAATATACCTCACTGAGCTACTAGTTTAAATACATCTTTTACTTACATTTAATACAGTCTTTCAATTCATAAACAATCAATTACTTTCTAACATCTATTAGGTGGGTCCCACCACAGTCTAAAGTGTTCATATATCGATGTTCTCTTAACTAATTCTTCTTCGTTTAGAATTGAACAAAATCTACAATAATCATCAGTCTCCAAACTTTCATGTCTTCTGTAATAAGAATAATGATCTTTCCATCTAAAATATTCAGCGTATTTTTCCGGTGAGTTTATAAGTTCGTTCATTTTCGCCGCCAATTTCTCATATCCAAGATCACGTGCGTTCAAATAAATCCCATCGGGCATAAACCTGAAACAAATTCACCGTGAAATTTCACTGGTATTCTTACATATTTAAATACTTGTTTTGTAATATTATTGCTTTATATTTTAACTTTGTTTTGACTGATTGTTATAAATATTAGACTGTAGTATATAATCATCAGTTTACTATACATCCCCACTGAGTAGCTCTTAGTAAACCCCAACTTAAGGTTGACTAAACCACCTTTCTCCTTATCCTACTCCTGTAGGGTCGGCGCAACAGTATTTTGTCCTCTACATAACTCTATCATACGTCATCTCAGTCATCTTTCCCTTCTTGATCTTGTCACCTTTCGCGCAATCCATCCATCTTTTTCTCGGTTTACCTATACCGAAGTACCTTCCACATTCATAACTAACATCCTTCTTGTTACATGCGATTCATCTCTCCAAGGTAAAGGTTGACCAGACTATGCGTCTATAATAATTTACTTCTATTACACACTGTTATCAGATAAGATAGAATGTGCTTATATTTGAACTTGAAAAATAATCTATCTATAGTATGTCTTTTCTAGTTTCGCAATCAGAAAATCATTTAGCATTTTTTGCCTTATAGCTTTATGTTGTCGAGAATACATATTTATCACAATATCCATAGACAAATAGGTAAAACCTAGTTGCATAAACAAGATATTAATATACAATTATTCAAATACTTTACATAATTTATTTACAACTTATAGTAGGTTTGATATATCCTATATTATGGTGTAAATAAACAGAATATTATGATTTATTATTAACTCTGTTGAATGCATGAAAGTGTGAAAACTCACCTAGTGTAATTAGCACCGCCGTAAACAATCGGTACAGCGTTATGTTTCAACCCATGCAATATTTTCTCTGTCACGTAATCTTCACTAAACGAATTTTCAAATGCTAAATAAAAATAATAATCTTTTTCGATCATGTTAAAACACTCGTCTTCGTGGTCACGTCCACATTTCAAAGGTCCACAGGCGCCGTATATGTCCACGGTTAACTTATATTGTTCTAAGTAGCCTTGCAACTCTTTAACAAACCTTCCACGACCGCTCTTCGAATAGCAATTCGATACAAACCAAGCTGCAGCTCTTGTTTTACTCTTTAATTTTGCCTTAAATTCCTCAGTAACCGGATTCATTTCTTCTAATTTCATCCAATGCATCACCGTCTTAGGTCCTATTATTTTCTTTTCCGAATCTCTAATCACGATGTAACCCCATTTCGCTTCAGAATCCAATCTATAGGTCCATGTCCAGTTGAAGAAACCGTCGAATCTATTCGAACAAACTGGATAATTGTCCGCGGATTCGATGGTTGCGAATACATACTTCTGATGAAGTGATCTTTTTGTAGGCAATAAAATATTATTCATCCGAACAACTTCAGGACCGGCGAATGCGATCAAGTCGAATTTCGTATAATCATCGAGATAATTCCTGTCTCCGGTAACAAAACAGTTTGTATATGGACACCCCCTATCAGTAAAACCTTTCCTTCCTTCACCCATATACACAAACGGCACATTCTTCGATGACGTCCAACGCAATATGTATTTCAAATCGGATTCATTGGCTACCAAACTTTTAAAACTAGTATCAATATTGCCTTTATCATTTGTCACTTTTTCTATTATTTTATCTAAATTTTTTTCCAGTTCGTATATTTTTGTATTCATTAAAACACTATCACGTCGAAGAGTTAAATCTTTTAGCGATAAGTATAGGAACACTAATATAGAAAGCACTGTGCAACTGAAAAATAATTTAACATAAATTTGATTTCTCATTTTGATATCTCGCCATACGTGCGGCGCAGTCCGCGGTAGTCGGCGCGCGCGCTCTGATCACGACCTTATCCCTCACTGGCGGAAATATAAACATTAACTCAAAATCATATGTGACTATCTCATTATGTAGCATTTTTCATTGATATGATTTGACTATATGTAATCATAGTTAAATTTTTAAACAGAATATCATATACATGTAGGGTTTAGAAGCTTTTATATGATGCTCTATTTTTATGTAATATTGTGTAATATATTTTTATCTGACGTATCTTTCAAATTAGACGGTAATCACAGAGTAGAAAAAAGCGTATTGCTTTAAAACGTTGGAGATGTGAAAAAGTGGTTTTCTTTTTCAAAAGGAAAACTTTCATATGCAAAAGATGAATTATGAAAAGAGAAACATATTTTTCTTTTTTTCTGCATCTTCATTTTGTTTTAAATTGATTATTAAAGTGTACGTTTGTTATACTGATTTCCTTAAAATAGGCAGTTTATTTTTTGTTATAACAAAGAAATTAAAGTCAAAACCAAAACAATAGTTTGAATTACTATTAATAATTTTCTGATCGATAAATTATAAGGATTCGCAAAAGATTATTTTTAATTGTAGCTGTACATTGTTAATGCTACTGCCACATATTTTTTAATAGCTGTCAGATAGTGCTGCTTGTTAAATTCACATGAAACGATATTAGCTGTCATGCACTTACAATAAGCTCGGTTCCACTTGTCGTTTTTCGGCCGGTTCTGATAAAAGATTTGGGGCTCTACTAATGAACATTTCTTATGAAGCATAAAATATCCAGCGATTTGCTAGTGTATTTGGTTTTGAACAAAAATCGTTTCACATGTGGTTGTGCGGTGAGTAAGCGCTGCCGAGCGTGAGGAATGTCGCTATCAACAACTATAGGGTGTCCGGGCCAATAATAATTGTAGCCTCTTGACCCACCCAGTATACATTGTGCTACGTAAGCAGTACAGTCACAAATACCATTGAAAATGGATCCAGTATTGTTGGAATAACCGATTAGGGTAAAGAGGTGCCGATATCCGATTAAAAATTAGGGCGGACGGCATATGACAATTAACTCAAACTCTTCAGTGTTGCCCAAGAGTAAACGATAATCCAGGCTTAAAAAATCTGGGTGTCAATAAAAAATGGCATGGCGGGGACTCAGCGCGATATTAAAGATGATCGCCTTGTTTTTCAATGTATCGAATGAAGGCAAAACATTGTGTAAATACTATTTCCTGGAAGCATACATTGTTCTGCACATGTTTAGTTTCACGGCTTTTAACAGAAAGTCGAGATACCGGCAAAAGATTCTGAGATGCCAATAGAACATTCTGAAATGACTTTTGATAACTTCTTGTCTTCACGAAGTCGTCGGTTTATCTATAAAAAATGGAACTAATTTCTATCGTTGATTAATTTACAGATTTTCTAAGTGGAACGAAAAATAAACGGGAATCGAAACGTTTCTAATTTGATGAAAATTATTGTTAAAAAACATTACGAATACGACCTGCACAGAATCGACATTTGTTTGCCTTTAACAATACTGAATCACGTTGATTATAATTGTTCTGAAATAATAAATCACAACACACTCTAAATATAAGAATAAATAAAATATTGAAGCTTGATACGCATACTATGTTTATCTTTACTGTATTTAGTACCACGTATATCATAACTTTTTTTTCTTATCAAAAAATCAATACATTATCTAAACATCATACAATTTCTCAAAAAATGATAAAACATTGTTTACGTCAAAGCGTAACGTTATGAAAAACAATTATGAAACCAAATACTTTTAATCTAAACGGAACGCGTAATCTTAAGATAAATAAAATAAAAACTATTTATTAACCGACAATGAACCTTTGTGATAATATTAAAAAGAACATGTCAGGTGCTGTCGAAGTTGGTCAACATATCTTTAAAAAAATTAAACGGTTTCTGATGTTTCCTTTTATTTATTTAATGCCTAGTGATTAATTAACGTAAGGTTGAGCTGAATTTTAAAACAGTAAATCTCAAGTTACGCAGATCAGAAACAAATTTCATGAAGTTATCGAAGCAAAAATACTAACGAATGGTTTATTCTAGCTGGGAAACAGGCAATAAGTGTTTATTAGTGTATAGATCTATGGCGAGATATAGTCGCTTTGCAATAAATCCCCCTGTTTAAATCATACTCATACTAATATAATAAATGCGAAAGTTTAGATGGATGGATGTTTGTTAGAGTTTGTAGCCTAAACGGCTGAACGGAATTCGATGAAATTTGATATAAATGTAGAGGATAGTCTGGAAGAACACATAGACTACTCAGTTTTTTTTTGTACCACGCGGACGAAGTCGCGAGCGAAAGCTAGTAAAAAATAATTTAAAAGGGAACGCAAGAAAAATATCACAGTTCTTTTTTAATAAAAGAAGCTCAACTGATGTTGAACCAGTGTTTACAACAGGCTGTTTTTTTTTTACCCGTCATTGCTTTTTTAACAAACTAAATTGAATCTTAGCAAAGTATAAAGGACAGCATAATATCTATTCTTTGTATGTAACTTTCTCAAAAATATCGTAAGTCCCGTAACGATGGTTCCAGGGAACAAATACGTGAAATATAAAATCAAATTTGCACGGGGCTCAGTGATACTGTCAAATTTGTTCCTCCGCCTTATTACAAAAGGATTTGTTTTGATTCGTAAGAGAAATCCCTTTATATGTTTCGTCTACCCAAATAGTTTTTACATATATTTATATCTTGCGTTATACATTTGTTTGCATTTCAGCACTTTTCAGTTACTTTCTTCTTCCAATTGCTAAACCATACATTGCTACGTCTAAGAGTAATTTCGACTAAATTGATTAAAGGAAAGCCTAAACAGATACTTCTTTATTGCCTGAGATGTCAGTAATTTCAGCATATTTTTGAATAATCCTTTTTTAATAAAAAGCCCTAAACTTACATACATCTCGCTTTAGGCTAGATATTTCTACGCCATTAAACTTAGGAGGTAATTATTTTGGATAAAGACCCTAATGTGGGAAAGAGATCATAAGATGCTGCCAACATCAAGAAAGCAAGATTTTTATAAAATTACATATCTTAAAACTAATTAAATGCCATATAAAATATTTTACAGGAGAGCAGTATCGTGGACAAGTATACTGAATGGAAATGATCGATTGCCTTGAACAAGCAAAGGCTTAATTTGAAAGCTCTGTCCCCCGGGATATTTGTTAGATCGATACGAGCAGTCTGTCTTGCTCTAAACTCGTTACTTAATGAAGTTATACTAAGCACGTATAGCTTATTTTATTGATAACTAATTTAAGGTCGTTGCACCCAAATAGAATAGCTCAAACTTAGTGTTTGTCCAATATACCTTTACCTAGGTTTTAAAAAGAATTTAGTACTATTTTAAAACGCAACACTTTATTGTGGTAATTTTTGATGTTTTAAGTAACCAAAAAAATAGTCCGTAAATTACGTTTGTTATATAAATGTTAGTAAGCGGAAATGCATCAATTGTCCAAAAACTGTGGGTTTCCACACTAAACGTCCTTGTAACCTGTCTCTAGTATTACAAGGCAAATAGAAAGAGATGGTAATAGTTTTTTGTACAGGTGTTAACGGTGAAAGCCTACGGTAAGTAAACACGTGAGGGATCACTTATCACACGATTGTCAATTGTTATGACCATCCGCGCCAGTTTCGTAATCGAGTTGTAGGTGACAGTATTTTTAACTAACTTTAACTTTTGTAAACGCTTAGTAAAATCGATCGATTAGATACGATTGCTGGTTAAGCCATGGTTTTTTTTCTCTAAATTTTATATGCAGTTATGTAGGCAATTTTTTATCTATTTTTATTTTTTTTTTATATATAATAAAGCGTAAACACACACTGCTTTGTTGGCAGTAAAGACAGCAATTACAGCATATTTTTGAATAATTATTTTTAATAAAAAGCCCTACACTTGCGACACGCTATATGGCTATTTAGGTGGTAAATATTTTGAATAAAATCCTAATGTGGGAAAGAGACCATAAGTTGCTGCCAACATCAAGAAAGTAAGATTGTCAAGGTTTGTCATGTCATGTCATTTTGACATTTGCTATTGATAATTTGACA